GTTGGGGCACACAGGGTGACAGGTTTCATTCCATGGTCCCATCACCTCATGACCAGAAATGGAAATGGGAGGAGGAGGTGATGTCACATAGTCTCCTTTCAGGGCTTTCCCCTAATGACCAAAAGATCTCTGCCTGATCCCCACCTCTTGATATTTTCATCACCTCTCAACAGCACAAGCATGGGGGAGATGCTTCAGACCCAAACTATAGCAGTAATTCCTATAGTTCTCTTGATTGTCATGGGGGGGCGGGGAGAGCGGGCAAGAGAGCAGGAGGGGAAGGGAGAAGGGCAGAGGGAGGGAGAGAGAGGAGAGGTGCAATTTCTAAAAGGCAGTAATGATTCTTTGTTAAGACATATACTTCGAATTATCCCGACTATTTCCCACACACCTTTAATTCTCACATACTTCACTTCAAGTCTTTTGTCTCCTGAAGACCCTTCTTTCCATTGTAGAAAACAGTTATTTGGCACATGCTTGGTGTGCATCTGTTGAAACAGTGTGCAGGGGTCAATTAAAACCCAATGTTTTCTAAATTTAAATTGAAGAAAACAGTGTCTATGGATTTGAGAGAGGGTAGAGGTGAATACATGGGAAGGGGTTAGGGGGAGGGAAGAGGAGTATTTTAATTTCAAAAAAATAAAGGTATTGTTCTCTAAAAATGGAAATAGGCAAAATTAAACTTCAGCCTGCTGTGGAATGATGGGAATTCACTGAGCCTCTTCTACTGTCAGGGGAAAGCCTGCATCCTGATGGCATGGGCACCGTGGACAAACTCACATCTGCCTTCTGTTTATTCCTATGTCCAACAGAATTCTGCGTCGTTTTATTACTTACTTATCATTATAAGGTCTGACCTGATAGAGAAAATAACAAACGCCTTTTCCATATGACCATGTGTACCATCTATCTGTATAACACAGGTAATTCCCTACCTTCTGAGACAGCTATACAGATTGCTACCTAGACACTTTGATTGATGTTTGAACATTAAAAATTAAGTTATGAAAAATTAGTCTGTGACATGCATAGGGTAGTGCCCTTACGTCTAGACTTTTGAGGCAGGAACTGTTAATCTGAGCAGCAAAGGTGGTCTTTCTTGGGATTATCATTGTCTCTTTGCAGCTGTTGTCAGGGTGGGATTTTCTTTTCCCATCTCATGGTGTAAGAAGTTCAGAAGACACTTCTATGCCGCTCTAGAGAAACACTGCCTTCCATTTACCTCCATGTTCACTATGGCGAAATGAGGTACTTTTTAAAACCCACATTTTTCAGAGCCTCCACCTGCTCACTGGGACCTGCCACCTGCTGTGGCTTGAGAGCCAAAGCTCAGCAGAGACACCAGGCTAGAGAGCACTTATGTCCTTGGGAGAGATGACCATTGACCCTGGGCAGAAGAAATATGTGAATCTGCTCCTGTCAGAAAACACAGTGATCTCAGAGACTGAGAAAATCACAAGACCCCATGTAGACTCTGAATAATTTCAAAATGGCTAGAGAAGCTTTGGGGTACATACAGATTCAAATCAAGAAGAGAATAGTAGATGAGGGAGCAAAGGATGATTCTGGTAACAATGTGGCGTGTGAGTTATGTCACATTGCTCAGAGTCGATTGGCTTTTTCCCAGTTGCTGAAAATCGAGAGAAGTCTGATGTATGCACTGTCTGTAGCCGATCATGATAGACAGGAAGGGTGCTCAGGTCCTTCTGAGAGTGCTGAAGAATGGTGCACACCGGGAGACATAGTATCTGTCCCCATGAACTTCCAGCTCCAGCAAGGGGCTAATGACAGTGATTAGAGCCCCAGTAACACAGGTCTCCTCTTGCACTCCAAGCATTTGTAGTTATACCAAGTGACAGTACATTTACATAAAACTCAGACATGCAAATGGCCTTGCAGTAGGGGTGACCACGTGTAAGGTCTTTCCCCTCCTCTTCTGGCTCCACCTTCACCTCCCCATACTTATTTTCACAGTGTCTAACCTACATAACATACATTTAGTTCTACAACCATAATTAGAATTCTCTTAGATATTCCACTAGTGTGACTCTGAAACTTAAAGAAATGTTCACATTTGGTCTTGAGGGTGAGTGGTGACCTGCTGAGTGGCAGGAAAACATTGTCTTGGTAACCAATTGTGTAACATGTGCCCTGATGCGTACCCCTAGGCACGGTGACTCACCAGAAGGACCTCTAGGAATGGACAGGGCTGAGGTTCATTGCAGGAAAATGTCATGAAGCAAAATCTGCAGAGAGAGAGGGGCACAAGGGGAGAGAACAGAGCCAGTCATGGGAGCCAGGGAGAGCCAGTCATGCAGGCACATCTGCCTAGAGAGTGTCAGAAGTCTAGAGTTCCTGAGGGGAAGGAGGTTCTGGTCACGAGTCATGCCCTTTGTCTAAGCAGTTCAGTCCTGTCAACCACCCACCTCAGAGAGGGAGCCGTGATACCGCATGTAAGAATTTCAAGTTCCCAACGGCCAGCAAAGAGCTAGGAAGCAGGACTTCCTAGCGACAGTAGCTCCGGGCCTGCTTTCTGCACAGGTTGTCTGTTAGCAGTGGCTTGTGGACTAGTGGTCTGAGGGTTCAAATTCCAGGCTCCTTTGAATTCTAGGTTACTTAGCTGCTGTGGAATGACAGTCTTTCAGGTGGAGCTCAGACTTCTGTAAGTCCTGTTTTTCCCTAGCATTGTGTGTGTGCTATGTGTGCACACACGTCTATGTTCTTACATGTCGGACGTGCAAGCGTGGCTTGTGTGCAGTGACGTGTGTATATGTAGTCTGTGTCTGTGTATGTGCACGCTCGCATGTGCGTGTGTGTGTGTGTGTGTGTGTGTGTGCGCGCGCATGTGGGCATGTGCCTGTGTTTGTGTGTATGAATGTGGGTGCATATGTGTATGTTAGCACACAACGGTGAAGAAAGGCCAAATGTGCAAAATCTAGGTAGAGGCTCGGGCCTTGTGTACCTTGACATAGTCACTGGTTTCTGCTGCCTATTTCCTGAGCTGCGCTGGTCTTCTTCCTGGCATCAAAATGATGCTTCTGCTGGCCCATGATGACTGATTTACTTCCTGCAGTGTAAATGATAACTCCTCGTCCATTGCTCCTTTGTCCAAATGTTCCCCCACCTGGCCGTCACACCACCTGTGCTGGAAGCTCTGCCCATCCTCTGCTGTCTTTCTTCTGTCCTTCCTGTCATATTATAGAAACACTGCCCACCCCGGAGGTACCTCAGAGTCACAGGTTGTGAGCCAGCACCCCTCAGCCCTCGTCTGCCTGGGAGCTTTCATCTCCCCGACACCCCTTTCCATCTCTGGGGTCCCCAAAGTGCCTTCTGACATTCTTCCATCTGACGAATGTGATTAGAGGTTAGCAATATGCTCTGAGCTCTGAAGGAATTGCTGTGATTTAGGATTTTGTGTTGATTTTTGTTTTGAAGTAGACAAGCCGGTCATTTTTTTCCAATATATTTTTAGTATCTTCTGTTTATGAAATTCTGTGGCTACAGGTTCCCTCTGCCCTCTCTCCTATCCTTTGATTTTTTTTTCAGTTCTCAATCGCCCTTTCTTCCTACATGGTATAGACTTACTCTCTGCTGTCTATGATGATGCTGAAAATCAGGGTCATCATCTCAACTTCTTCTATCTCAGTCTCATTGGTTTCATGTGTTAATGCATAGCTAAATTTTAAGCTGATGTCAAGCCATGTTTCAGAAACGTGTGTGTGTTTGTATGTGTATGTTTGTGTGTGTCTCTGTGTGTGTATCTCTCTCTGTCTCTCTGTCTCTCTGTCTGTCTGTGTCTGTCACTCTGTCTCTTTCAGTCTCTGTCTCTCTCTCTTTCTGTGTGTGTGTGTGTGTGTGTGTGTGTGTGTGTGTGTGTGTGTGTATCCAGTAGAGCAGAGGGGCAGGCAGTATTCAGGCATGCATTAAACACTGCCCTCTTTCCATGTAATGCTCATTCATGTATGTTTTTATTTAAATTTCAGTATTTACAGTTGCAGTGAACTTAAGGAAAATTATTTCATTAAAATATGGCACTGTTGTTTGTCAGTAACGAGGAAACCACTGCCTGGAGAAACACAGCTTGATATTTCTCCCTGATCATTTTCCACTCACAACCTCTTGAACATTTGCACTCCTACTCTAACATGAATTTGCGACTAAGAACTCAGAGTCAGTGTTACTGCACACTGTTTGACTTGGCTGTAGATATCTGTGTGGCTCTCTGATGTTTCCGCTTGGTTAGTACTGTATTCAAAACATCTGCAAATAAAACACATCATGCTCTTCAGTATGCTGGGCCTGGGTAGACTTTTTGAAACCCAAACAATCACAGAACAGGCAAGGACATCTCATTCATACCTGTTGCTGAGATGTTGTGCAGCAGGGGTCTATGAAACAACGCTGGTGTTTTCAGTGTTCTTTGCATTTAATTGAAGAACTCTGGCTGTTATTTAAGGTTTTGTTTCTTGGTTATTAGGATAGTTTGTCCAGTGCTGGGCCCCTCCCTGACTCCTGGATTACTGTGTATAGACCAGGTCTTCTCTAGAAGAATTCACATCCCACAAGGAAATAGACACCCACCTCATCAGTCATCATGGCACTTGTCGGGGAGGGGCAGCTGCTGTGAAGGAAAGTGGATAGAGCAGCTGGAGAGTATTGATGCATATTTAAACAGGCCCTCAAAGAGTCAAAGGAGCAGGAAAGGAACCTGTTTGAACCAAATACCAAATGAAGTCTTGTATGTTTATGGGGGCACTTTTGACCTAACAGATCCCACAAGAACATCTAGAAAAAGTTCCCACCGTGTCTGATAGTCCCAAATATCAAGACCACTATAGTACATGCCATTTCATTATCATCCCATGATTCCAATGGGAAGGCTTCAAGATTATGTGAGGACGTGCATTTGCATTTCTATTGTATGCAAGGATATGATGGTTTTCACGTGTTTTTGATTTTTGTTTTTTGTTTTTGTTTTGTTTTGTTTTTGTTTTTCAAAGGGTCCATCTTGCTGGGATGATGTCTTAATTCCAAACCGGATGAGTGGCGAGTGCCAGTCTCCAGACTGCCCTGGAACCAGAGCTGTAAGTGTCTGACTAAATTAATTATTTGTGAAATTAGAATATGACCACCTCCTCAGTGTCTATTAGGAGATTCCAAGAGAAGCCAAGATCGTCAACTGACTTCCTTCCAGCCATAGTGATACCGTCAGAAAAGGGCTAATATCCAGGTGTGTTAACCACATTCATCCAGGCTCTTCCTGTGCTTTTACCCCCAGGGTCACATCCCTAGTAGCAGCCACTTGTGGTGATGTGTAAAGGCAACCAAGGAAAGCTCGGAGCAGGAGAGGTGCTCTTCCTTGGGCATGAGCACACTTGGTTGTTCAGCCCTAAAAACACACATGCAAGTAACGTTATAAGGACTGAGCTGAGCAGGTTATATTTAGGAATATATATGTATATCCATATAAACATGCATGCAATAACAGTTAGTGATAAAAGAGGCCATGAATTTGGGAGAGAGTGGGGAGGAGTATATGGGAGGGCTTGGAGGAAGGAAAGGGAAAGGGGAGATGCCATTGTAGTCTCACTGGCATGGCTGCTTAAATCACAGGCCATTGGTCATCAACTTAGCCTCAGTTTGTCTTCACCGCTTGGAGTTAGGAGGCCCCTGCTCAATTTCTGCTTCACTCTTTCTGTGGAATAGTCACATCTTGAAGTCTCCCAGAGACTGCCAGCCTCAAGCCTGCTTCTTAACATGAAAGACCCCAAGGATTATGGGATCTACCTGCTGAAAAATAGGGTGCAGACTCAAATGTGTGTTTCAAGAGTAACTATAGAAATGTGCCCATCTAAAAGAAAAGCCATAAAACATGCAGTTCTGAGCCTAGGAGAAGAAACATGAAATAGAAAGATAGTCTTTCTTCGATGCGTGTAGTTCATGCTTGGGGTCCACACCAGTCAAATAGTCCTCTTTAGGTCATCTCTTTCTCACCTTGCTGTTTTCTGACATGGTGGGAAGTTTGAAGACAGCGTGGCTTATCGTTCTATGACTGAGTTGCTATTCTCTGTTCTGTGTAACTCTTCATAAGCATGTGCTTCATGGGGAGGAGGTGCTTCCTGAGAGAGGCCTTAAGTTCTAAGGTTGTCTTTTAAATAAGTGTTATTGTTGCCATCATCATATTTATCATTTGTATGTTTTGGTACTTTTAATCTCAAAAATCCTCAGGCCAGTCCTACTCTACTCTATGATATCTGGAGCTGTAAATACTGTCGTGACAACACAGATGTCGGTGTTAGTTCACAAACTGTCCCAGCCAGCCGGCAATTCCTATCTTCTCTGAAGAGCAAAGTCTGTCAACAGTAGCAGGCACAGTATTTGATCTGAATCATTAGACGGGCTTCCTCTCACCAGCCTGCCAGGTGATTGCCAGATACTGCAGCAGCAGGCAGACAAACATTCTCCATCACACTGGGGCTGGGGACCACAGACAGACTCGTTATGAATGCAAATCCCCCAAAAAAAGAAATCTTAAAAAAAATTAATGACCTATATGTCAATCACAGGTGTCAGTCATGATGCATCCTTGTGAGTTTCTCACTGGTGTGAAATTAAAGTGTATCACTTTATAGAGCAGAATTTTAAGTACAATTATATGTGCCTGTATGAATGTGTTTAATTATGTTATATATACCATATAGATATGATTATGTGTAATTGTGATATATATCCTTACACAACACATATTGTGTATTTAAGTATTATATACATATATATGATCATTGAGGTAAATGGAATGATAAACAGGTAAATGGAAGATGGATATATAAATATATTTATAAAATATTTCTCTCTGTCATATATGACATCATATACATCACAAATTTACCCTAACAACTGGAGCAGGGGCTGTCTCTGACTCTGTTTCCTTCCTTTGGATCCCTTTCCCCTAACAGGGCTGCCATGTCTAGCCTCAATAGAAGAAGGTGTGCCTAGTCCTAAGGCATCTTGATAGGGAGAGGTGTGGCCTCTCCTACTCTGAAGAGAAAGGAAACAAGGGGTGAGGGGACAGGAGAAGGAGGGAATGGGAGTGGAGGAGGGAGGAAAAGCTGTGATCAGAATGTAAAGTAAATAAATTAATTAGTGAATAAAAAATAAAACTCAAAAAAACAGAGTTCCTAATCTATTTTTAGTATTTATATATTTTAATATAGTTTATATCAAGATTTTTACCTTAGCCCTTAAGAAAACAGATATAAGGACTGAGATGGCTCAGTTGGTAAAATGCTTGTGCTGCAAGCAGAAGGACCTTAGCTTGATCCCTAGAATGCACATTTTAAAAAACCAGGAGTGGTGTCACACATATGTGATGCCAGTGCTGATGAAGTAGAGAAAAGTAGATTTCTGAGGCTCCCTGGCCAGCTCGCAGTTTACTTGGTGAGTTCTAGTATTAGTGGCAAACCCTGTTACAACGCAAAAGCTATGAACAGCATCAGAGGAAGAACAACGAAAGTTGTCTCCTGAATCCACATGCACACAGAGAAAACAGCATATAAAAATACAGAATTTACCGTAACTCACTTTAGACAGAGCACTGAGAAGCTGGTTCAGGTACAGAGCAGTTACTTTATGACAGAGCATGGCATTCCTTCCAAAATGCATCTTAGCCTTTTATAAAAGTCATTGAAAGAGGTGTATGTCTAAGATCAAAGGGAACACAACCAATTAGAAGTTTCTGCACTGAAAAAAAAAAAAGTTTCTTCTCTAGTGAAAGTAATTCAACTTTGGATACAACAGGACTTCAAATTCGCTATGCGAACTTCCTTTAATATTTTGCTTTCTTCAATGGCTTTGACAGCTGAGATGATAATCATACTTTGTCTGTCTGTATATTGGAGAAACAATGTGTTTATCTCACTAGCACACACATAGGGTAAGGAAAACCTAGAGTCCTGATGTCAAGGCAATATGTGTGCATTCCAAGCCTCCTGGAGGCATGGATCCCTCCTACCACTTCCCTACCAAGACCCCTGGCCTCAGTGGTATGTCCGTATACACGGGGCATTTCTTGGCTAGGAGGGTGCTCCTTGTCCCCTCATGCCTGTCAGCTGGATGTGAGGGTAAAGAGATGGGCGTTCCTTCAACTGAAATGAATTATCTCTCAAAATAACAAATGACCAAGGATATTGTGTGTGTGTGTGTGTGTGTGTGTGTGTGTGTGTGTGTGTGTGTGTATACATTTAACAACAATTGAGGTATGAATTTGAAAGAAAACAAGGAGTGTTAGATGAGAGAATTTGGAGGAAATTAAGAGAAGAAGAAATGATACAATTATAATCTCAAAAATAAAAAGAGATTATATTTGAAGGATATTACTTTCACTAGTCACCAACTAATAACATACATCAATTTTATATTTATATAAAGTAAGAGTTAGTTGAAATTCTGTGTTTCTGTAATTTTGAACATGTGATTTTGATAGGAGTTACATTGTTTTAGATCACGCATTTTTACTCATCAAAAAGTCGAGGAGCTCTAAAAATATAAGATTTATTTCACATGATATTTAATACTTACAACTACCTCCTGATTATAGTCAATAATTATTATACTTGGTTTTATCTTAATTCACATGCAAATTATTTCTTGCCAACACATCTTCCCCACCTCTGGCTTCTGAATATGTCAACTGGAGCGCTGGTTTGAGGAGCAGTTAATATTCTTAGTCAGTGTCTTTGTTTGCATCTTCTTGGGAAATGCAGGCACAAAATGCAGAGTAAGTAAGAGTTCCCTAATGCTGAACAAGATTTACAAGTGACTCACATATTTCCTTTCCAAAAGTGTCTTAGTGATATTTCAGTGTGGTCACATTGCCATCTTCTAGGGAATATGAGATTCATTAGTTTTTCCAGACCTTATCAGAACCTTAAGCAATGAGATCTTCTTAGTTGTTTTTTTTTGTTGTTGTTGTTTTTTTTTTTTTTTTGGTTTTTTTTTTTTTTTTGGACTTAATAATAATAAAACTTTAGGTATTTGCTTTGGTTGTTGAGAAAAGTTTCAGGTTTTCCAGTGATTGCTAAGATTGCCACAAAATGGCAGTCTGAATTTGTGCAACACATAAGCTGTGACCTATCTATTCCTGTGTTGCTCTCAGCATCTGCAGTGTAAAGGGACCCATTACCGCAAACATGCTCACACAATATCAGTGTCTTCCCAGGCCCCAGCACTGTCAGAGGGAAGCGGGTCACCAAGATGTGGAAGGTGGCAAATGAAAGTAGAGGTAAATGAGGAATGGACGCATTCACTGCCCTTTCGTTCTGCCCTGCGGTTCCACAAAAGACAAATGCTCGTTCTGCCCTTACACTGCTCTCCCAAGTCATATTTTCTTAATTCTAAATAAAATTGAATTGTGAAAGCTTTGAAGTCAAACTCAGATTATGATTGAATGGTGTCTGAGCGTGACAAAATGTTCTCTGTTGTCTGACATGCTATTTGGGTGACAAACTAGAAACTCCTAAGGGCATTTTTCAAAAACCAATCAAGTATTCAGACCCAAGGACAGCTTTTTTCTAAAGGAAGTTTTGAGTTCTTGATAAGAAAAAGTTTCCTGTTCTTTTCTGAGTTGTTGAGCTATTTTTATTATGATGAAACTAGATAAAATTTAGCAAATTTGAATAAACATCAGAATGTTGTTGACATATAAAAATGTATTCATCTAAGAAGTATTGTTTTTAATGTAACTTTTATTTTTTACAGTTTCATCCCTGTATATGATGTGTTTTGATCATCTTCACACCCCACATCCCCCATTTCACTTAGAAGTATAGTTTTTAAAGACGCAAGAGAAATTTAGGTTCTTTTAAGAACCTATGCTTTTGTGAGTGTCCGAGGCCTCAACTTCACACAATTCAGTTTTTCTTTCTCTTTGACATAACTTATCTGTTTTCATCTGCGCTATTTTATAATGTGATGAGAAAGTAAATCAACAGACATCTTCTCTATGGAGCCATGATGATGCTTGGTGTGAGAATCATTCTTAATGTTTGGGAGATCAGGTAGCAAGCCGAGCTCCTGCGGTAGAATA